AAAGTTATATGTAAGCCAAGTATGGTGGCTTACACCTATAATCCCAGCACTTTGGGAGGCCAAGGTAGGAGGATTGCTTAAGGTCAGGAGTTCAAGACCAGCCTGGGCAATATAGCAAGATCCCACCTCTATAAAAATGTTTAAAATAAAAAAAATTTTAATTTAAAATGTTATATGTAGATTTTTTTACTGTGTAGGGTTCAGTGCCCTAATATCATTGTTCAAGGGCCAACTGTGTATTAGCTCATCTGTCCCACCCGCACCACAGCTCTGTGAGCTACTATCATTATGTACATTTTACAGATGCAGAAGCTTCTGAGAGGTAACTCACCCAAGGTCACAAAGCCAATTAAAGAGGTGAAAATTGGACCCTGCCCAGGCCTGCTGGCTTCCTGAAGTAACCCAGCAATTGAGTAGAAATGGCTGCTGGAAATGTTTCATAGGTAGGGAACTAAGACATTTAAAATTGTATTTGCTTAAGCATTCCTTTTTTACAGTTGATCTAAAGGTAAAATTCAGTATAGTTCTACCAAATCTCAACAAAATATACATTACTGGAGTCCAATCAAGGAACTTTCATCATAACATTAATTACTTAAGCTCATGGATCTACAGAATTATCTGTGACTAGCATGTACCATGGCAAACTTTTTTTTTTTTTTTTTTTTTTTGAGATCTTGGACTTGATCTTGGACTTTGAGGCAGGAGAATCGCTTGAACCTGGGAGGTGGAGGTTACCATGAGCCAGGATTGTGCATTATACTCCAGCCTGGGCAACAAGAGCAAAACTCCTTCTCAAAAGAAAAACAATAAAATAAAATAAACAAGATAAATAAGTAAAATATATAGTTGGAGACTGATCAATGCTGAAGAGAAAGGAGAGTGTCTTAGTCCATTTATTATTTATTCTGTTGCCAGCTATAACAGAATAGCTGAGACTGGGTAATTTCTAAAGAACAGAAATTTATTCCTTCATAATTCTGGAGGCTGGGAAGTCCAAGATCAAGGCACCAGCGTCTGATGAGGACCTTCTTGCTGTCCTCACATGGTGGAAGTCAAAAGGGCCAACAGGGGGACAGATTCTGGGTCCTCACATGGCATGTGTAGAGAGAGCACCCACTCCCCAGAGCCCTCTTTAAATGGCATTAATCCATTCATGGTGGTAGAACCCTCATGACCTAAACACCTCCCATTAGACTCACATCCCAACCTTGTTGTATTGGGGATTTAGTTTCCAACACACGAATTTTGGGGGATACAGTCAAACCATAGCAGGGGATATCAAGCATGTGAGTTGTTAAAATTGTTGTTAAATAGTTAAAATGTTAGATAGGGTGGCCAGGGAAGACCTCATCAAGACAGTGACTTTTGAGTAAAGACCTGAAAGAGACAAGCCATGTGGAAATCCAAGAGAAACACAGTTCAGGTAGTGGAATAGACAATGCAAAGCACTGAGGACTATGTGTGTCTGGGGTACTTAAGGAACAACAGGGAGGTCATGGGCAAAAGCAAGGGGACTAGAGAGCTAATGCAAAAATCCAAGCAAGAGATGACGGTGACTTAACCCAGAATGATGAGAAATGGTCAGATTCTAGAAATATGAATGTTAAATCAACATTTGCTGATGGGCCAGTTAGCTGAGGAGCCATTACAAAGTGTAAGGGTTGGGGGAGGAGATGAAGGAAAACCCCTACATTTTGGCCTGAGCAGGCAACTGGAAGGATGGTGCCCAATACATTTATTTTTTCTTTCTTTCTTTTTCTTTCAATGAACCATGTGTACAGTTTTTCATATTTCTTTTTTCTTTCTTTTTCTCCCCATCCCCAGATTTGCATTTCTGTCACTTGCACCACAACCTTCCCACTCAATGAAAGAAATTTAGAAAGCAGTGGTTTTCAAAAGAACATATTTAAAGCTGCTTCAAGTTTTGCTCATCTAAAGCCTGTGTGTTCTCTGGAGGCTGTGACTTTCGAGGGCAACTCTTTAAAGCTAAAGCGGCCCATGCCCTGTTCACTAAAACACTTGTTCTAAGTTCTAAAACACTGCAGTCGTATGATTCCGAAATCTTGAAAGGATTACAATGAAAAAGTTACTCTATTTTCAAGGATCCAGCAGATACTTTTCAGAATACTGAAAGTTCATATATTGTAAATATACCAAATATACTCTGAATGTTATCAGTATACTGCAATTCTGTTCAGTAGAATACTGGTACATTGATTGGTTGTCTGTGTGCCAAGGAACAGAGCTTTCTCAGAGAAGAGAAATACTCCTGGCTCTTAGGATTTAAGCTATTAACATCTATGCTTGAAAACCACTTGCCACTTTTGTCAAATGAATTGATGCAGTTCAGCATCTAAGCTCAAACATTCGCTAATTTCACCTTTTTCTGGTTTATTCACTTGTTTATTAGTAAGGAGAGGACAGATTAAATACAGCAACAATAGATACACAATGAATAATAGTTTCATGATGAGCCAAGACATTAAATAAGACAAACAAGGCAATCTGATTTTATGTTCAACATTGGCCTATTACTTTAATAATAAAATAACAGTGGTATTTGAGTTTGGAGCCAGTATTCTGGTCTTTGTACAAAAATAATGCCTTTCTTTGGCATCAATAAATCATTATCCATCCATCTTAATTGTATCAGCATTAAAAATAGCTTACACTCTTTGGCAGTAAATAACATTGCCTTCAATCAGACAAATTATATTTCTATCCCAAACTACATCCAGTACCATGTCATCAAGAGAAATTCTAAATTATCACTGCAGATTGTGTTTTTACACGGGATTGTATCACAAACCAAACATTTAAAATATGAAAAAGGAAAAATCCTTCATATAACTGCCTCTCAGTGTGTCTCCTCTCCAAAGCTTCTAGGCTGCTTTCTCCACTGGGCTTCAGACCTTCCTGTCTAGTAGCTCCTGGATACCATGGTTCCCAAACTGAACTCATCCTTTCCCTCAAAGTGCCCCTATTACTGTGTATCCATTCATGACATGTCCATCCACCTGGTCAACCAGCTTCAAAACTTGAATCTTTGACTGCTCTCTTTACTTCACTTCCTGTATCCGAATGGTTGCCGAATACTGCCCACTGAACAGCTTCCAAGCTGGTTCCCAGCATCTAATCTCTCTCTTCTTTATCCACCGCTGGAATTATCTTCCTGAAGCTCAGATTTATGTTACTTGCCCCCAAACCTTCCATTTCCTATGGAATGGTCTTAACTCCTTAGAACAGTACCAAGGCTTTCCAGTTTGGCCTTGCCGTCCCACCCCACTGCATCTTGTTTTCATAGTCCTTAGAATTTAATGCATAGAGGTGACTGAGTGATGACAATCAATGAATTAGTGGCCAATGCTTTTGAAAGTTTTATTACAGTTCTCAAGAGAAGGGGCCGTGTCTTGCTGCACAGGGCCACACGGGAAAGTATTAGGGTCAGAGAGAAGGCAGAGGGAGTGAGGAGAAAGCCTACTAGAGCCTTTGGGAGGACATGGGAAGACATGGGTGAGGCAGGGAAGTCTAGCAGGCTTGGGATTGAATAGTTTGAATAATGGTGGCAAGCTCTGGGACATAGGGGTGATTTCTAGTTGTCTGGCACTTGGCCATGAGGTGATTTATTGCAGTGACTTGGGGCAGGGAAAATATTGGTGTGTGAGACGGATAAAGGTGGTGTGGGGATATAGGTTTGGATTGGTTTTGTATATGAAAGGGGTGTTCACAAGCAAGCTCTTTGCTATCTCTAGGAATTAGCTAACTCTGGAGGGGCAATTCCTCCCCAGGCCCCGAAGGCCCAAAGATGTCAAAGCATCATAAAATACAGAAACTAAAATCCATGGTTAATACACACCTCCCTTCCCACACGCCCTTTACTCCTGGCTCCAGTAGCCCCAGAAATGCTCTTCTAGATGAAGTAAGTTCTGTAGTGAATCTGTCAACAATTTTATGTTATCCCATAGCCTGGCTGAGGAGAGCCACCAAATCTGTGCAACCATGGTCCTTGCCCTGGTCACTGGACAGTGACCGCACCTGATACAGGCACCCCATCTCTAGGGTGGCCTGCCTGGACCAATCGATAAACTGGACCAATTGGATTTCCATTTTTAGGGATTTAAATTCAGAGCCACGGCCGGGCGCGGTGGCTCAAGCCTGTAATCCCAGCACTTTGGGAGGCCGAGGCGGGTGGATCACGAGGTCAAGAGATCGAGACCATCCTGGTCAACATGGTGAAACCCCGTCTCTACCAAAAATCCAAAAAATTAGCTGGGCGTGGTGGCGTGTGCCTGTAATCCCAGCTACTCAGGAGGCTGAGGCAGGAGAATTACCTGAACCCGGGAGGCGGAGGTTGCGGTGAGCCGAGATCGCGCCATTGCACTCCAGCCTGGGTAACAAGAGCGAAACTCCGTCTCAAAAAAAAAAAAAAAAAAAAAAAAAAAAAAAAAAAAAAAAAAATTCAGAGCCACTAAAGGAGATTGTCAGTTGATGACGAGCGAGGACACACTGGAGTACACTCACAACCCTTGCAAGCCAGGGGCAGTCTAGTGCTCCACCCCTCTACCCACCCCGTCGGACTCCCACCAAAATACTAACAAAATACAATGCACTCGTTCATCATCTAGACCATAATAACTCGCTGGGGCTAGTGCTGGCAGTTTTTGTTTAACGTTTCTTTCAAATACCAAGATTAACTGAGTTGCATAGTGAAAAAAAAAAAAAAAAGAAAACTGTAGTAAAGGATTGGGCTTAGGCCTGGAGTGAAGGGCACAGGATGCCTTTATTTTAAACCCCCAAAAGTGTTGCAAAGTGTTTTTAATTTCACATAAATATTTAAGGATCACATGAACACATTCCAGTACGAATGCGTCCAGGAGTTTCAACGGGCGTTCCAGCTTCTTCGTAACGTTCCCACACTGGGCTACAGGCGGAGCGAAGAGAACCTCCGGCGCCCCCACCTACCGCTCCACAGCCTTGTCCCCCGGCTCTAAATTTGCAGACTTGGTCGATTGCTTCTGCCTGGGCGGTACCGCCAGAAATCGACTGCTCCTGTCTGGCGCGTCCCCGGGCGCGGGAAACAAGTTTCAATCCACTCCCCTGACCCTAACCATCCTGCCCGATCTCCGCCTCTCCGTCTTCTACACCCCTAACTCTCCGAGGCTCCTCCGAATCACTCAAGTGGAATCGGTGAAGCTCAAGTAGCCGCCATGTCCGAAGCTTATTTCCGAGTGGAGTCGGGTGCTCTGGGGCCTGAGGAGAACTTTCTTTCTTTGGACGACATCCTGATGTCCCACGAGAAACTCCCAGTGCGCACGGAGACCGCCATGCCTCGCCTCGGTGCATTCTTCCTGGAGCGGAGCGGAGACGCAGAGACTGACAACGCGGTCCCGCAGGTGAGCATTTGGTTGCGGGGTCTCCCACTGAAAGACTGCAGCTCTCGGCGGACCCCGCGGCCCTGGGAAGCCGCGTCTGGGCGCGCTGCCCTCTGGGATTTGTAGTTTTCAAGTAGCCAGAGCCGAAGGCGCTAACGACTTTGAAAACTCCGCGGGGGTCCAGTCGCGCGCAGGGTGGTCTCCACACCATCTGTGGTGAAGCTACATTTATCCTAGGTCGTCAGGCAGGCTCCAGCATTGATTTCGTTTTTGAAACTGTCCAAATTCCTCAATGCCTTTCCCCCACCCCCTGCAACGTGTGTTGAATGCTTAAACATTGACTGCAGCCGAGTACTTCAGAATTAGAGTTCTTTTTTTTTTTTTTTTTTTTGAGACGGAGTTTCACTCTTGTTACCCAGGCTGGAGTGCAATGGCGCGATCTCGGCTCACCGCAACCTCCGCCTCCTGGGTTCAGGCAATTCTCCTGCCTCAGCCTCCTGAGTAGCTGGGATTACAGGCACGCGCCACCATGCCCAGCTGATTTTTTTGTATTTTTGGTAGAGACGGGGTTTCACCATGTTGACCAGGATGGTCTCGATCTCTTGACCTCGTGATCCACCCGCCTCAGCCTCCCAAAGTGCTGGGATTACAGGCTTGAGCCACTGCACCCGGCAGAATTAGAGTTCTGATCATGTTTGCCTTAAAACAGGTTTGGTTTCAGTAAGAGCATGTGATGAGTGGGAACCCCAAGTTGCTAGATTCATTCCTGCATAATGGTGACAGGATCAGCACCCACTTACTGAGGGCTTACTTAGTGCCAGCATGGATGGGTGTGGGGAGTAAGCTTTTCCGTCTGTTATCCCATTAATCTTTCAGCAGCCCGATAGTCAGGAACTGTTGTGGACTAGAAAGGTTGTGTCCCTTGGCCAGGGGCTTCAGTTAGTGGTGAGCTGGGATTCAGAACCCAAGGCCGTATGGCTTCAAATATAAGATTGTCCCAGGAACATGGCTTGTGATGATTAATTTGAATTTCCTGTTTCACCTAAGTTTAGTTCAGAACGATGTTTTTTGTTTGGTCTGTTTGTTTCAAGTTAATTTTTATCAAAGTAGTACATAACCAAAGTTTTAAAAGTGAAATACTACCAAAAGATTTATAAGAAAAAATAGCAGGACATGCCTTGCTTTTCCCATTCCCCCTCCAAGTCCACAGGACTCATGGACCTCTTTTAATGGTGCCTTCAAGATTCATCTCCATATTTCTAAATAAGATTCTTAAACTTAAGTTGTTGGGTTGTTTTTTTAAATGGAGACATTATCTGTTGACTTCGCATCGTAGCAGATGAAGATTTCCTTCCCATACCCGCTGGTAAACATGGAGCTATGCTGCCCAGACTTTATTCATATTTCCTTAGTTTCTTAGTTAACATACTTTTTCTGTTCCCAATTCCACCTAAGATACCACACTGAATTTAGTAGACGTGTTTCCTTAGCCTTCTCTTGGTTGTGACAGTTAAGCAGACCTTCTTGTTCTAATGACCTCAACAGTTTTGTGGAGTGGTGGTCAGATATTTTGTAAAATGTTCCTCAGTTGGAAATCTTTGGTTTTGGGGTAGTTTTGTTTTTGGCTTTTGTTTTTTTGACAGAGTTGTTCTGTCATCCAGGCTGGAGTGCAGTGGCGTAAAATCAGCTCACTGCAGCCTCCTCCACCTTCTGGGTTCAAGTAATTCTCCTGCCTCAGCCTTCCAAGTGGCTGGGATTACAGGCAACCACCACCACACCCAACTAATTTTTGATTTTTAATAGAGATGGGGTTTCACCAGGTTGGCCAGGCTGGTCTGGAACTCCTGACCTCAAGTGATCACCCACCTCAGCCTCCCAAAGTGCTGGGATTACAGTTGTGAGCCACTGTGCCCAGCCTTCTTTGTTTTTGTTTTTATTCTTTCTTTCTCAGGATTAGACTTGGTTATAGGCTTTAGGGAGGAAGACCACAGAGGTAAAGTGCCATTTTCATCACATATTAAGGGTACCTACCATCAACAGGACTTTTTACTGTTCATTTGAACCTTGGCAGAGGTGGTGTTCGTTAGGTTTCTCCACCTTTTCATACTGTACCGTTTGGACAGGTCATTATCACTGTCACACTCAAGGAGTAGGGAGTCATGTTCCACTTCTTTGAGTGCTGAGTGTCTACATTAATATTTTTGTTTTTGGAGACAAAGTCTCGCTCTATTGCCAGGCTGGAGTGCAGTGGCAGAGTTCACTGCAACCTCTGACTCCCTGGTTCAAGCGATTCTCCTGCCTCAGCCTCCTGAGTAGCGGGGATTACAGGCACGCACCACCATGCCCAGCTAATTTTTGTATTTTTAGTAGAGATAGGATTTCACCATGTTGGCCAGGCTGGTCTCGATCTCCTGACTTCGTGATCCAACCACCTCGGCCTCCCAAAATGCTGGAATTATAGGCGTGAGGTACATTAATTTTCTAGAATCCTTCTGCATGGGAGATTTGTGTAGGAAGGTTTGTATGACATTTAATTTCATTTATAAGATTATGCAGACTTTATTTCTTCTTGTGTTTTGGTATATTGGTTTTTAATTTAAAATTTGACCATTTTATCTATTTTATTTATTTTACTTTATTTTTTTGAGACAGGGTCTTGCTCTGTTGCCCAGGCTGGAGTGCAGTGGTGTGATATGGCTAACTGCAGCCTTGACCTCCCAGATGCAAGTGATCTTCCCATCTCAGCCACCTCCATGGCTGAGATTACAAGCATATGCCACCATGCCTAGATAATTTTTTTTTTTTTTGGTCTAAACTTACAGTGGTATCAGTACAATGTTCAGAATTTCCTTTACTATCTTTTTTAATGTCAGTAAGATTACAGTGGTGTCATTTTTATTTTTAATACCGATAAATTGTGTTTTCTCTTTCTTGATTACTCTTGCCAGGAGTCTATCAATTTTTTTATTCTTTTAAAAGAACTAACTTAGGACTGTGTTAGTTTTTGCTTTTGTACCTTTGTTTTTAGGTCATTAAGTTCTCAAATAGTTCTTAACATCTACTTTATTTGGGCTTAGTTTTCTATTATTTTCCCCCACAACACACACACACACACACACACACACACACACACACACACACACACATTTTGAGATGCAGGTCATTAATAAATGTATAAAATCACAACTATTCATAAATGTATAAAAGCACAACTTCAATTGCATTTCGTAAGTTTTAATGTGTTACATTTTCGTTATCAATGAATTAAAAATACTTTTTAGGCCAGGCACGATGTCTCATGCCTATAAACCCAACACTGGGAGCTGGAGATGGGAGGACCACTTGAGTCCAGGAGTTCGAGACCAGCCTGGGCAACATAGTGAGTCCCCATCTCTACAAAAAAATTAAAAAAAAAAAAAAGCCAGGCATGGTAGCACACACCTGTGGTCCCAGCTACTCAGGAGGCTGAGGCAGGAGGATCATTTAAGGCTTTGGCGGGGCGGGGGGTGGTCAATACTGTAGTGAGCCATGATTGCAACACTGCACTCCAGCCTAGGTGACAAAGCAAGACCCTGTCTCAAAAAAATAAATAAATAAATATGTTAAAATACTTTTTCATTTCTATTGTGATTTCTTTTTTGACCCATAGGTATTTAGAAGACTAGTGAGTGCTTAATTTCAAACATTTTGAGATTTGGTTATTTACCAATTTATTTTTTATTTTTTATTTTTTTTGAGATAGAGAGTCTCGTTCTATCTCCAGGCTGGAGTGCAGTGGCGTGATCCCAGCTCACTGCAACTTCCGTTTTCCAGTTTCAAGCAATTCTCCTGCCTCAGCCTCCCGAGTAGCTGGGACTACAGACACGCACCACCATGCCCGGCTAATTTTTTGTACTTTTAGTGGGTTTCACCATGTTGGCCAGGATGGTCTCGATCTCTCGACCTCGTGATCCGCCCGCCTCGGCCTCTCAAAGTGCTGGGGTTACAGGCGTGAGCCACTGCGCCTGGTGGTTATTTACCAATTTTTCTTTGTTATTTCTAGCTTAATTCCACTGTGGCTAGAAAAGATAGTCTGTATCATTTTAGTCTTTTGAAGGTTGCTGAGACTTGCTCTATGTCAAAGCATAAGACCAATTTAACCATTCTGTGTGGACTTGAAAAGATGTCTATTGTGAGCTCATGCTGTGCAATAAATGATCTGTATGTGTAAATTAGCTCATTTGTTAATTGTTTTGTCAAGATTTTCTCTGTCCTTAGTTTTTTTGAGGAGGGGAGGGGGCTACTGGTTGTTTTTTGTTGTTGTTGTTGTTTTTATTATTCTGAAAAATGTGTGGAACAGGCATGGTGGCTACTGCTTGTAACCCTAGCACTTTGGGAGGTAGAGGTGGGAGAGTCACTTGAGGCCAGAGTTTGAAACCAGCCTAGGCAACATAGCAAGACCCTGTCCTTAGGAAAAATTTTAAAATTAGCTGAATGTGGTGGCACATGCCTATAGTCCCACCTACTCAGGAGCCTGAGGCAGGAGGATTACTTGAGCCTAGAAGAGCATTGCACTCCAGTCTGGGTGACAGAACAAGACCTCCTCACTAAAAAAAATAAATAAATAAAAATTAAAAAGCATATTAAAGTCTCTCACTATGATTATGTATTTGTCTATCCTTTTACTTCTGTTAATTTAGAAAAATATTAATAATTTTCTGGTAGATATAATGACCCTTTTATTATTGTCATATGTCCCTCTTTATCTCTAGTAATGCTCTTGTCTTTTGATTAGTGTTAACATGATATTTTTTTCATCCTATTTTTAATCTTTCTGTGTCTTCATATTTAAGGTATGTCTCTTAAGCAGCATATACTTGGGTTTTGTTTTTTATTCAGTGTGCTGATTTTTATTGGTATATTTAATCCATTTACATTTAATTATTGATATATTTGTGTTCATTTTTACCTTCCTACTGTTTTCTTATGTCTCAACTGTTTTAGCTTTCTTTTTCTATCTTTTCTTGACTTCTTTTGCATTAATCAAGTTTATTTTATTATTCATTTACCTTTTTATTATTTAGTTATATAGTCTTCTGTTGTTTTAGTGGCACCTTAAATATATTACACAGTCATTTTTGACTAAAAATAATGTTATCTAAGTTACTACATTCACCACTTCACAGAAATGACTAGGATCTTAGAACACTTAAACCCCATTTTCTCTCTTCTTTTGTATTATTGTGATGTATTCTATCGTGATGATTGACTCATTGAAAACCCTAAATAACATTATTATTATATGTCCATTTATACATTTTTTTCATTATTCTTTTTTCTTTCTGCATTTCCACAGTTTTTTCTGGAATTGTTTTCTTTCCCTCTTCAGAATTCCCTACTCGGGATCTTCTGGTGACAATTCTCAATTTCTGTCTGTGTCACAGATCCCCAAGACCAACCTAGATTTGATGATTCACTAAGGAGACTTAAAGGACTCAGCATATAGTCACATTCATGGTTAGATTTATTACATCAAAAGGATATAAAGCAAAATCAGCAGAGGGAAAGGTTGCATGCAGTGAAGTCTGGAGGAGACCAGGCACAAGCTTCCAAGAGTCCTCTCCTAGGGGAGTCACACAGGACATACTTTATATTCTCCAGTAATTTGAATTCTGACAAAATGTGTCAAATACTGTCTACAGGGGAAGCTTGTGAAAGACTCAGTCCCCAGGGTTTTACTGGAGGCTGGTCATGCAGCACTCTCTGCCCAGCACAGACCAAAATTCAGACTCCCAGAAGGAAAGCAGGTGTTAACATGAACCACATTGTTTGCACAGACAGCTCAGGCACACTCTCATCAGTTCTGGGACTGGTCGAAATCCTTCTGAAATCCAAGTTCCCAGATGCCAACCAAGGGCCAACCTTGCAAGCAGACCTTGCTAAGATAGCAGTCTCAGGTCTACTGTGTTACTCTTTTCTGCATACTTTCTCTATGGAAATGCCTTTATTTCACCTTTATTTTTAAAGGCTCTTTTTACTGGGTATAAGATTTTATACTCACAGTTATTTTCTTTTAAAACATTTTTTTTAATTATATTTCCATTGTTTTATAGCTTCCATAGTTTCTGTTAAGAAGTTGGCTTTTTTTTTTTTTTTTGAGACAGAGTCTTGCTCTCTTGCCCAGGCTGGAGTACAATGGCACAATCTTGGCTCACTGCAACCTCCACCTCCACCTCCCGGGTTCAAGTGAGTCTTCACCTCAGCCTCCCAAGTAGCTGGGATTACAGGTGCCAGCAGCTATACCCAGCTAATTTTTGTATTTTTAGTAGAGGCGGGTTTCACCATATTAGGTTGGTCTCGAACTCCTGACCTCAGGTGATCTGCCCACCTCTGCCCCCCAAAGTGCTGGGATTACAAGCGTGAGCCACCATTCCCGGCCAAGACACTGGCTTTAACTCTTATCGCTCCTTCTTTAAAGCCGGTGTGTTCCTCACTCCCATCGACAGCTGTTTTTAAGATTTTCTCTGTCTTCAGTTTTCCACAATTTGGGTAATATATGCCTAGTTGTGATTTTATTACTATTTATTCTATTAATTTTGTTATTTATAATGTTCCTTGAATCTGCGGTTTGGTATCTTTTTTAGATTTTGGATAGTGTATAGCGATTATCTCTTCAGACATTTATTTTGCCTCAATTATTCCTCCTCCCCATCAAGTAACATGCGGAACTTTTTCCTCTTTCTATACCTTATTTCATACATCTCTTAGGCTCTTCTGTTTTTTCTCTAGATGCTGTAGTCTGAATATTTTCTACTGACCTTTTCTCCCATTCACAGTCCTCTCTTTATCCATATCCAATCCAGTAAACATGTTAAATTTTATTTAATCTATTGACTTCTTAGGTTTAATTATCAAATTTTTCAGTTCAGGAATTTCCATTTGATTTTTAAATTTATTTTAAAGTTGGCGTCTCATTCCCCTGATATTTGGTGTCAAATACTGGGCTTACTTCCATCCCTTCTTTCTCAGCTCTTAGGCCCTCGTGTCCTGGTGGTGTTGGCAGCCTTGAACCAATATTGGTCTGTCTCATCTTGTGCAGTTTGCCAAAGGCTCTGCTTCCACACCCACAAAGCTGCTCCCATCTTTTTGCAACAGTTCTCCCTTGTGAGAGTTTTTGGCTTTTATTGCTTCATTCAGTTCAGTTGTTTGCCTTTGATTTTTTGGAGATTTATTACTCTTAATTCCTGGTCTGTCATAATCAACTCATGTTGTTTTCTAATTCTATTAAGGCTTTAAAAAATAGAGAGACATGGGTTCTGTCATCTCTGAGGCTATGAAGTGGAATGGGAAGGGGCTGCCACCCAAGCTCAGGTTGATCCTATTTTTCTTACTGAGCCCTGGCACCCAGTATGGTGCTTAGTGCATAGCAAGCACTCAGCAAATGGATATTTGGAATAAATATTGAATATTCAAAGAAAAAAGAAATGTTTACTATGGCTCTGAAGTGTCTGTAGTTGGACAGTTTTTGTTTGTGTTAGAGAACTCTCCCTTATCCTACATTTTTGTTCTCCACCATGTTTTTGTTATATAAATCCATTTTTTTCGGCCGGGCATGGTGGCTCACACCTGTAATCCTAGCAATTTGGGAGGCCAAGGTGGGCAGATCACCTGAGGTCAGGAGTTTGAGGCCAGGCTGACCAACACAGAGAAACCCCATCTCTACTTAAAAAAAAAAAAAAAAAAAAAAAAAAAATACAAACTCAGCCAGGCATAGTAGCACAACCCTGTAGTCCCAGCTACTCGGGAGGCTGAGGCAGGAGAATTGCTTGAACCTGGAGGCAGAGGTGGCAGTGAGCCAAGATTGTGCCATTGCACTCCAGCTTGTGTGACAGAGCAAAACTCCATCTCTAAGTAAATAAATAAATCCATTTTCTCTGTCCATTCCATCATCACATAAAACTTCAGCCCACGCTCTTCATTTCTTCAAGTCATACCAGGTCTTCTGTGCTTGACAGCCACTCCACCAAAGAGAAAAGGCAGTATTCTCAGGCGATGCGTATTTCCCTTTCGTCACACACATTTACCATGTTACTTGTCTGTTGAAAATTTACCTGCGTGCATGCTGCAGGGTTCCAAGCTTGAACTCCCCTTGTGGCTGGCAAAAGGACTTTTTGACAACAAGCGACGGATCCTTTCTGTGGAACTCCCCAAGATCTACCAGGAGGGCTGGAGGACCGTGTTCAGCGCGGATGCCAATGTGGTGGACCTCCACAAAATGGGGCCCCACTTCTACGGGTTCGGCTCCCAACTCCTGCATTTTGACGGTCCTGAGAATGCAGACATTTCCCAGTCTCTGCTGCAGGCAAGTAATGGGTGGGAAAACCGATGGTGCGGACACTTGTCTTAGGAGCAAGCCTCAGAGACTGCTTTTACCAGGACAGTGTATGGCTTATCAATTTCATTTGTTATTATTCCAAGTCAGCCTACATTTACACTGCCTGCCCATTATGTATTTTATTATACACACACACACACACACACACACACACACACACACACATACACACACACACACACACACACACTTTTTAAATATGACCTGTCTGCTGCTCTTCATATTTGCTTGCTACAAGTTGAGGCCAGCAAGAACTCTAAGAAATAGAAAAGGGTGATGGTGGCCAGGTGTGGTGGCTCACACCTGTAATCCCAGCACTCTGGGAGGCCAACGCGGGAAGATCACTGAGCCCAGGAGTTCAAGATCAACCTGGGCAATATAGTGAGACCCCCATCTCTATTAAAAAGAGAAAAAGGGCGATGATGCATTACGGGTGACAGGCACTTAGATACACAGTCCCAGGCCTGGCCTGAGGGTTCCTGTTGGAAATACATGAGTTATTGAGTTGCCTGTTTCCTTCGTTTGTCCTGGGGTTAGGGCTTGGCCCTGCCATGAACTAACAATGTGACTTGGTCAAGCTACATGACCACTCTAGGCATCAATGCTTCACCTGTAAGGATTGATGACAATAGTGCCAAAATGACAGAGTCGTGGTAAAACTATGTTGCACTGTGTAATAAACAGTAACTCATATTGTTATTACTTCTCCAGGACAAAACAATGTTATACATTCTGTTCTCATCTTTTATGGTATAACCTTATTTTAATTTTTCATAATTATTTTGTATGCTATTACTCTTAGAAGAAACCATCCTTTCTGCCTCTTGGGACAGAAGCATTTGCTACTAATAACAATAATAGGTGATGCTTCTCAAGGAGCTTACTGTATGCTAGCCATCTGCTAGGTGCATTACATGTATTTATTGGTTTTCTTAACAACTTACTGGATTTTCATAACAATCCACTTCACAGATGAGGAAATTGAGGCTTGGCAATATGCAATAACTTCCTTGAGTGCTAGAGGGAATTGAGACCTCCTTCTGAGTCCTACACAATAATTCTTTCTTTTCTTGCCATTTAAATGTTCTGAGATAAAAATGGATATGAGTTTGTGGGGTGTGAGATCAACCCTGACTTCTCTTACTCCCTTGTTTCCCAGACTTTTATCGGACGTTTTCGCCGCATCATGGACTCCTCCCAGAATGCTTACAATGAGGACACTTCCGCGTTGGTAGCCAGGCTAGACGAGATGGAGAGGGGCTTATTTCAAACAGGTCAGAAAGGACTGAATGACTTTCAGTGCTGGGAGAAGGGGCAGGCTTCTCAGATCACGGCTTCCAGCCTCGTTCAGAATTATAAGAAGAGAAAATTCACTGATATGGAAGACTGAAGGCCAGAGCACAGAATGGCTCCTTGTAGACGTATCCCTCCCTGTGTTCTTGATAGGAGCTGGTTGACCTTGTACAGAAGCAGAATCCTGTCCCATTTCATGGCTTAATTCCTGTGGCCATAGGAATTATAGGGAACTGGACATGCTGGAGGATGTGGATATCCCTGCCTCTATGAGTCTCCCAGGACCGTCCCACTCCGCTGACCCACAGCCCAGGCCCGTTAACCCAAAAACCCGCAGCCAAAGAGAAATCGAAGTCCTCCTAATTAAGGATCACTGCCATATAACATACCATAGTAGAGTTGCAACTGGGATTCCTTGTGTCTAGGAGTTTGGACAGCTTCAGAGGTACAGTTTCACTAGCCACAAAGCACAGGTACAAATTGGGTCATCTTTGCCCATTTACAAAATGTTCTCTTATCTCATTTGCCTCATCTTCCTCATGGTTGTACAGAGGATAGCACCCCACCATGCTGGCCTGACTTGTAACTATCTATTGCTGCCTGCCTGCAGGGAGTTACCCCAGTTTCCAGAAACAGTCAGCAAGATAAAAGGAGGAAAAGGGAAAGGCAGATGAACAGCATGGCTTTTACTGAAGCAAAGACGCTGGCCTCATACTCTCCACTTAGAGCTTAATGAACTGGAGTCTGCATAGCTCAGCAGTCAGCCCAGAAGGGAAATGGTTAAACTGGGCTTGTTTTTGCCTCGGAGAGCCTAAGAACACCTGCACACTTATTCCACTCCCTGTCTAGAAAAGCTGTCAGGGAGTCGTTTGGAATTGCAAAGTAGTTATTAAGGAGTGTTCACCAGCCTACGTTACATCCCAAAGTCAAGACTTGATAGCTGACTATGAAAGGCCCTGTTTTCAAAACCTAACATTGCAGATGTAAGTGGGCAAGGAGCCTCCACTGTGCTTTTTTTACCTCTTCAGTAAATGTTGCGACATTATTGCATAGAAGATCCCTGACCATTTGTTAGGATCCTGGTTAAGCAAGCACAAATCTCTTTTCCCGGACATCAAGGATGCAGCCTCAGGTTGAGAAAGAAACAGCGTTCCCTGAGCCGGTGAGACTGTTCGCAGGCATCGGTGCTTCCCCTCTGACACCCTACAACTAGCAAAGATTGCCTTTGTCGTTGGGAATTATGAAGGGATTTGGGTATCCAGATTGTGCAGATGCAAACTTAGATTGTCAATGCCAACTTAGAACCACAGAAATGCTTTTAAAATGCCCGTTTTAAGTTGGAATTGATATTTTTATAATTTGATTTTAGTGCTAAATAAATAATTGGCTTTGTACATGAATATGTTCTGTATAAGTATTCTTTCTGTCACTCTGGTATTACCGATCATCAGCAAAGCTATCAGAATTTTGCCTTTGATCGTATTTGACAGTAATGCACAAATCCATGTTTTAGCAGCTGCTCTTTTGCTTGTGTGGTACACATAAATAGGAGGTACATTCTCTGTAGGAGTGTGCTGTGTCCTAGGAAGATGAGATTTCCATTACTACCGCAGCATTTATATATAGCCAGGGCCCCAGAAACCATTCATGGAGCGAGAGAAGCATATTATTTAACTTTTGGCATCCTTCTTTTCACACATAGCTTTTTATTTAAAGTCAACCCTAAGTCTGCTGCCGTTTTTTTCCTACTTCCTAAAAAAAACAAAAAGAAATTCCTCAGAGGCCACGTATCAGGAATATGTAGGTACTCACATGCAGAATGTAGCGCCTGTTTTAGATTTTGAACAGATTATATTACATGTGGCTTTTGAACCCATTTTCTTTTTTTTTTTTTTTTTGAGACGGAGTTTCACTCTTGTTACCCAGGCTGGAGTGCAATGGCACGATCTCGGCTCACCGCAACCTCCGCCTCCTGGGTTCAGGCAATTCTCCTGCCTCAGCCTCCTGAGTAGCTGGGATTACAGGCACGTGCCACCATGCCCAGCTAATTTTTTGTATTTTTAGTAGAGACGGGGTTTCACCATGTTGACCAGGATGGTCTCAATCTCTCGACCTCATGATCCACCCGCCTCGGCCTCCCAAAGTGCTGGGATTACAAGCTTGAGCCACCGCGCCCGGCCGAACCCATTTTCAATTACAGATCTGTCTTTAAGCCTGTCAGACCACCCCTCTCCCCAGCAGCCCACCAGTCAGTCATTTGGATTTTGATTTGGTCCCTTCAAGAGGTTATTAAAAAAAAAAAAAAAAAAAAGACAACAAATAGACCCAAATACCAAATTGCTCTCAAAATCCAGGGAGTAAATATGTGCCCTTTCCCCTGAAGCTCTCTGTTGCCACATAACTGTGGCCTTAATTATAGACAGAAGGCTCAGTGTACGCAGCTTTTTCCCAGGGACAGTGTGGGCAGTCAGGAGGAGTGAGGCAGGCCTTGCCTCAGTCGGTTCTTCCTGCTGTTCATGACCTCTGGATCTGGGAGGCTGCGGGCTCTCCACGGCTCTCCGTCTCCATGCTGACGGCTCCCAAATTCCTATCTCCAGCTCAGACCTTTCCCTCTAACTCCAGGCTTGTATCCAACCCGCTGTGTGATGTTTCTCCTTCCCCTCGGTCTGCTCCTCCTCTGATCTTTTCCCATCTTCATCCTTCCCTATTGCTCAAGACAAAAATGCTATGTCCTCCCTGACCTTCCTTCTCTCACTCTCCATAGCTTTTGGGTCTACCTTCAAATCATTTGCAGCATCTGGCCACCTCCCCATCACCTCTGGTGCTGTCAGGGCAGACCCCTACCATTTCTTTCCTGGAGTTTCGGGGTCACCCCCAACTGCCTCCCTGCATTAACCCTCCACCCCACCTTCAGACTCTTCTCACCGTAGCAACCAGAGTGTTCTTGTTCAAAAGTAAATCAGATTCTGTCAATTCTCTGCTCAAGACCCTCCCATCTCAGAGAAAAAGGCTACCCAGTTATCCCAGCACACTTTGAGCAAGATGCGGTGACGCATGCCTGTAATGCCAGTATTTTGGGAGGCCGAGGTGAGTGGATCACTTGAAGCCAGGAGTTTGAGACCAGCCTGGCCAACACAGTGAAACCCTGTCTCTACTGATAATACAAAAATTAACCAGGCATGATGGCAGACGCCTGTAATCCCAGCTACTCAGGAGGCTGAGGCAGGAGACACTTGAACCCAAGGGATGGAGGTTGCTGAGGACCCAGTAAGCTGAGATTGTGCCACTGCACTCCAGCCTTGGTGACAGAGCATCTTACAGAGTGCACTAATCTTTCCACACCACTGAATCCGAGGTTTCTGGAATACTGTGTCTGAACTAGTGAAACTGGCACACAGTGACTTGAGTCAAGTTCACTGGGTGACTCAAGTTCAGACAGCAGTCAGTCCCACTCTGCATCTGTCTGTTCTTTCCCCTCATCCTTCGAGAACCCCCAAGAAAGCTTTTTATCTTTATACTTGAAACAATTGTGTCTACATGAAAATGTAATATTTTAAACTGACCTTGCTAAAAGAAAATAACTGCAGAAGCTATATATATATTTCAAAGCAGATATTTTTGTGTTCAGGAGAAAAATCTATAAAATGTAAGGTAGATGCTTAACTATAAGAATTAGTCAGGCCGGGCGCGGTGGCTCAAGCCTGTAATCCCAGCACTTTGGGAGGCCGAGGCGGGTGGATCACGAGGTCGAGAGATCGAGACCATCCCGGTCAACATAGTGAAACCCCGTCTCTACTAAAAATACAAAAAATTAGCTGGGCATAGTGGCACGTGCCTGTAATCCCAGCTACTCGGGAGGCTGAGGCAGGAGAATTGCCTGAACCCAGGAGGCGGAGGTTGCGGTGAGCCGAGATCGCGCCATTGCACTCCAGCCTGGGTAACAAGAGCGAAACTCTGTCTCAAAAAAAAAAAAAAAAAAGAATTAGTCTAAGGAATATAATTTCAACATTCGTTATCTAGTGAAGGCAAATTTTTATGTCATTTTCTTTTCTTTGATTTTTGAGACAGGGTCTCACTTTGCCACCCAAGCTGGAATGCAGTGGCCCAATCACAGCTCACTGCAGCCTTAATCCTTCCACCTCAGTCCCCAAGTAGCTAGGATTACAGGCTCTCAACTTTCCCTAATGTCTTACTTTTAACTAAATCACGGGCTTTATGTGCCACCATGCCTGGTTACTTTTTGTATTTTTTGTAGGGATGAGTTCTCACTATGTGGCCCAGGCTGATCTCAACGTCCTGGGCTCAATTAGTCCTCCTGCCTTATTGTCGCAGAGTGCTCGGATTACAGGCATGAGCCACCGCCCCTGGCCAATAAATTTTTAATATTGAGTACACATAGAAACATTTATTTAAAAGACAATTAAGTGAATGTCCTAACCCTAAGGAAAAGTATCTGAAAGTTGGAATTCTGTTGCAAACTCTGTGCGTGTGTGTGTGTGTGTGTGTGTGTGTGTGTTTTGCTAACTCTTGATAATATCCTTTTGAATGAGCAGTAGTAAATCTCTTGTCCTTAATTAGTAACAAAATGTACAGTGAATCAAGGACAAGTCTGGAAAAATGTAGAGTCACTCCTTTCCTGAGAGCAAATGACTGATACAGGTGACAGGCCCCGCTTGCCTTGGTTGGAGCGCGTTTTGTTTTTCGAGGCTTCTGCTTTTCTGCCTAGTTAATCAAAGGAGACATCGCAGCCAGGCACAACTTGCCTGCCAGGCAGCCTTACTCCAGCACAGCAGCATTCTCCTTCCGCGTTCCCCTGTCCTATTGCCAGCCTCGTGGTCTAGGGAAAGCTGCAAATGAGGACACCCGCAGGAGCAGAGGTCTCCTTTCTGTAACTGCTTTTTCAAGGTCAAGTCAAATCAACAAAGTAGGCATCATTTCATTAAACTTTCTCTTTTTTTCTTCTCACAGGGTCTCGCTGTGTCACCGAGGCTGGAGTGCAGTGGTGTGATCTCGGCCCACTGCGACCTCGAACTCCCGAGATCAAGCGATTCTCCCACCTCAGCCTCGAGTGGCTGGAATTACAGGCATGCACCACCATGCCGGCTAATTTTTTTAATTTTTTGTAGAGACAGGTTCTCTCTACGTTGCCCAGGCTGGTCTCAAACTCCTGAGCTCAAGTGATCTGACTGCCTTGGCCTCCCGAAGTGCTGGAATTACAGGTATGAGCCACTGTACCCAGCCAAACTTTTTATTTTAGGCATAATTCTGGATCTCTACAGCAGTTGTAAATGTAAGACAGAGAGTTCTCATGTATCCTTCACTCGGCTTTCCCTAACGTCTTACATAATCATGGTACATTTATCACCACTAACTAGTTAACATTGCTAGGGCACTTTCAACTAAACCACGGGCGTTATGCAGATTTCACCAGATTTTCCATAAACGTCCTTTTCCTGTTTCAGAATCCAATCCAAAGTCCCACATTGCACTTAGAGGGCAATCATTTTTTAAAGCAAAACTGCATCAGACTGTTTGCTACATTAATTCAGTAATTCAGCTTATTGGAAGGGTTTCACTGCATTGGGGCAGGCACACTGGGGCCAGTTGGAGCTTGCAATAGCACAGAACTCCTGGTAAGCGCATCGAGAAGGGAGAGAATATTTGCTTTTCTTTCTTTCTTTTATTTATTTTTTTATTTTTTATTTTTTGAGATGGAGTCTCACTCTGTCACCCAGGCTGGAGTGCAATGGCACGATCTCAGCTCACTGCAACCTCTGCCTCCTGGGTTCAAGCAATTCTGCCTCAGCCTCCCGAGTAGCTGGGATTACAGGTGACTACCACCACACCAAGATAATTCTTGCATTTTAGTAGAGATGGGGTTTCACCATGTTGACCAGGCTGGTCTTGAACTCCTGACTGCAAGTGATTCGCCCACCTCAGCCTCCCAAAGTGCTGGGATTATCGGTGTGAGCCACTATGCCCGGCTACTTTCCCTTCAATAAGTGACACTTTCTCTTATGTGCCTCATTTGCTGCACTTGAATCTGTCCTCCTGAGCTACCCATTTGCTTTCCTGTGTCCAAAGAAAAGAAAATGTCCTCAAGGAAGAATTTTTGTTGTACAAAAGGAGACATACAAGTCATGTGAGAATCAAACATCTTTTTAAACCTGGAAATAAACTTCTCTCTCAAGGGTGATATAGGAGCAGAAAGGGTTGTAAAAGCTTGAACTTCGGGTTCTTTCCCCTCCTTCCCTCCCCCTCTCCCTTCCTCCTTCCCTACCTCCCTTCCTCCTTCCCTCTCCCCTTCCCTCCCTCCCTCCCTTCCTTCCCTCTCCCTCTCTCCTTCCCTCCCTCCCTCCCTTCCTTCTTCTCTCCCTGCCTTCCTTCCTTTCTTTTCTTTCTTTTTTTCCCTTTCTTTTTTTGAGACAACAAGGTCTTACTCCCTTCACTCAGACTGGAGTTCAATGGCACCATCTATCACTGCTCTGCTCACTGTAGCGTCAACTTCCCAGGCT